CCTTCTAACTGGTTCCAATTTTTCAGCTAACCACTGGGCTAATCGGTGGTATGGTGAGCTTGACATATCCAAAATGGGTCGTAATGGTAAACCAGCTTTATGTACTTTAGGTAGTCCGTATAAGCGTGGGATGATTGAACCCATTAGGCGTATGTGATCGTATAAATCCTGGGTTATTATCCCCTTATTTTTAAGATTTTTAACAATATCCGTTAGTTGTTTTTCAATCTGCAGTGTTTTGTCACGTTCTCCTTTAGGTTTGTAGAATTTAGTGGCATCCTCTAGGATTAACCTCATTTTATACAAATATTCTTGACGGTCAAGTAATACTACACCGGCTCCTTTGTCGGGTTTACTTAAGATTAAATCATTATTTCTTTTCAGGAGAATTAGCTGATCCAGGTGGTTCTTAGTTAATAAGTTATTCTTAGCACATTGTATATTAACATAACCATGACTACAGTCCAGTAGTGTGGATTTGAAATGCTGAAGATTTTGTGGGGATGTCGGCATAAGATCATGAGTTTGGTTCGATAGGTTTTCGAATTGAATTTGCGTATAAAGTCTACTGCTATTTGAGGTGCTATTACAGAATTTGGGACCCAATGATAGGGCCTGCAATTGGATTGTCGAAAGTTCAATAGAGGAATGATTAAATACATAGTTTTCGGGATGTTCTGGAAACTTCTTAATCACGTCTACATGTTGCAATGTTTCTAAATGTTTACGTTTAGCTTTTTGTGACTGTTTTTCAGTAACATCAGTAACATAATCCTCAAATTGTTTACGTTCATCTACCGACAATTCAAACAATGCGTGACTTCTTAGAGATATATTGCGATCTAGTTCAACTATTCGAGATTTAATAGCATCGATACAATTGAGTGCATGACGTTTGAGAGTTTTTGCATTGGGATGAATGTGGTTTCGTCTTAGTGCCTTCCAGAAGAGTTTAGGATAATCATTACTTTCGATACAGCTTTCGAGAAAATTGATCTCATATTTCACTAGCGCAAGCTTGACGGTGTAACGTAAGAACCCATTGAGTTCTTTCATCGTCATATGGTCCTTGCATTTCTTCAATTGGCATATAATTCCCATTTAACATTAAAATTAAAAACACGAATTTCAGCGAAGGGATCTCTTTTCAACGAATTTATTATCAAGCTGTACAATCGTATATATACATGAAAAAGTTTTGTTAAAGTACTAATTCCGTGAGGAAATGTGAACACTAATAACCAAGATTATAATACTGGATTACGTAATATGAATAACAACAATAGATTTAGTGAATATAGTAAGACAGATAAAATGTTTTGGTTACAATAATTAAAGGTCATAGAGGTGTAAAATAAATAAATAAATAAGGTGATGAGTATTCATGAATAAAATAATAAGAATATAAAACATAAGTAAAGGGGAATGGAGTAATAATAATAATAATAAAAGAATGATAATAATAATAATAATCTTAAGGCCATGGTAACGATAATGATAAAACGTACTTCTTTTGTACGCATAGTTCTGGTTTGAGCTCATGGATGGTAAGAGCTTCGGCTATTTTTAAGAGTTTGATACGAAGAAATCTTGGTAGATTTGAACGAATCATATAAACAACCTTAAAATCAGACTGTGGATTCGTCGAATGATTACAGTCGATTAAGTGTTCAAGTATAGAACTTCTAACTGCTTTCCTTTCACCATTGTAGAACCAAACTTCATTCCCCTTTACTTATGTTTTATATTCTTATTATTTTATTCATGAATACTCATCACCTTATTTATTTATTTATTTTACACCTCTATGACCTTTAATGACCTTTAATTATTGTAACCAAAACATTTTATCTGTCTTACTATATTCACTAAATCTATTGTTGTTATTCATTTTACGTAATCCAGTATTATAATCTTGGTTATTAGTGTTCACATTTCCTCACGGAATTAGTACTTTAACAAAACTTTTTCATATATATATACGATTGTACAGCTTGATAATAAATTCGTTGAAAAGAGATCCCTTCGCTGAAATTCGTGTTTTTAATTTTAATAATGACCAAGTTTTTTTGCTACTATGTTGATAGTAAGAACACAGTCTAGCACATTTAGTGTTAACATTACTTAGAGTATTATTTATCATGAAGATAATTTAAGTATCAATCATAATTGCTAAAACACAATGATAACAATTTGGATCATGAAATGATGTTAACCACTGAGTCATGGAAAATCAGGAAACATTGAATAGTTACTTCGTTCTACTTTCAAACTCTTTGATAGTGTAAATCTATGATGATTAGAAGTATTAAAATAATGTACTAACTAGGAATTATCGAAACTGTGCAATTCAAACTAGACAGAGCTAGATAAACACAAACGGACGTACTATATTTGAAATTTGCAATATGCGGGTAATCAAGTAAAAAGGAATCATCAGTTCGTACAAATATCACAAAAATCTCAAACTTAATTCATGACTGAATCATGAAAACTCATTTTTTTATTATTCTACAGACCATATTGAAACTTAAAATCTGTATAAAACAATCTATTTTACCTCAAATATTACTTACTTTGCAAAATAATTTAGATTAGATCGTTGAAATATTGATAAAGAACTATAATACATATAATCTCTTTTCCATTATTTGATACATATGATAGCAATGTTATAAAGGTGATACAAACTTGTATCAAGTTCATTAGCAATTGTGTTTAAACTAACAAGCAAGAATGATCTATTTGCCAATCTTTTTCTTTTCTCCTGATCATATGTTTATTTGTTTGATTTATTGCAGCTGTAAACTCAAAGAACCATCAGAAGAGTCCATTATTGCTGAAATATATTCCCACCCACATTTTCGAAACTTTGTAGCATTATGAATAATTTGTATAATAATAACAACAAACATCGTTATAACAGTATTATTGGGATACCAAAATAAACAGACCTTGAGATTTATGTTAAATATTTTTGGTATTTTAAGTAACATTAAGCCTATATAATCCTGCTTATTCTCATTATTAACAATTAACACTGACTCTATGACCAATAAAATGAAACTCTATATTATGTATCACATAAAGTTTAAACATTACTCAGGAATATTTACCTTACGTATGTGAATACCAATAATTTACTTTATAGATGTGAGTTTACTTTACTTATCCAGTGAGTCTATTAGTTAGTTCAATATATAATAGAGGGAACAAAATAAAGTGAAATAACCAATAATTTTAATAGATGTTAGTTACAAATAAAGTTATTGAATTCATACATTTATGATATCATTTCAAGTTGGAATAAGAAACTATGTACTCATAGTGTTCACCATGTACTCTCATCAGTTGTATTTTGTTCGATATACATTGTTATGAACTAAGTGCATATATATAAACTAATGAATCCTCCAACATTCTAGTATAATGTTTGCTTTCATTTATTGCATCTGACCTGTTTCCCTACATGTGCGACACTTATAGGATTGTAGATAATAAGTTCTCGCTATCTTTAATTCCAGACAAAGGAGTACAGTCTTCATAAAGTACTTAATTACACCCGCTACCTTCATGGAGGAGCATAGGCCGCCAACCAGCACACTCCATCCAACTCTATCATGAGCAATCCTTTCCAGTTCTCTCCACTTGTTGTTCATCATTTTCATATCTCCCGACGTAATGTGCTCCTTGGCCTTCCACTTTGTCGCTTCCCTTCACGATTACAAGTTAGCGCTTGCCTCGTGATGCAGTTTGGTGATTTCCTCAGTGTATGTCCTATCCACTTCCAACATCTTTTCACAATTTCCTCCTCAACTGGAAGCTGGTTTTTCCTCTGCCACAGAAGGCTGTTGCTGATGATATCCGGTCAGTGAATGTTGAGTATCATGCGTAGACAACTGTTGATAAATACTTGTACCTTTTTGATGATGGTTGTAGTAGTTCTCCACATTTCATCTCTGTACAGTAGGACTGTCTTGACGTTCGTATTAAAGATTCTGACTTTGAAATCAGTTGACAGCTGTTTTGAGTTCTATATGTTATTCAATTGTAAGAAAGCCGCCCTTGCTTTGTCAATCCTCGCCTTTACGTCTGCATCCGATCCTCCTTGTTCATCGATGATGCTTCCCAGGTACGTTAAAGATTCCACATCATCCAGAGTTTCACCATCAAGTGTGATTGGGTTGGTGTTCTCCGTGTTTTATTTGAGGATATTGCTGTTTCCTTGGTGTATGTTGAGGCCTACTGATGAAGAGGCTGCTGCTACACTGGTTGTCTTGAGCTGTATTTGTTGATGTGCATGCGATACAAGGGCCAGGTCAACTGTGAAACTCAAATCATCCAGTTGCATTCAAACTGTCTACTGTATTCTGTACTTTCTCTCCCAGATGTCTAAGTCTTCATAATCCAGTCAACCAACAGAAGAAAGAGGAAGGGGGAGAGTAGACAGCCTCGTCTGACTCCGGTCCTCACTTGGAACGCATCTGTCACCTGTCCTCCATGCGCTACTTTGCACTGTAGTCCGTCGTATGAGTTCCAGATAATGTTGACAATCTTCTCAGGAACTTCATAGTGTCGAAGAAGTTTCCATAATGTTCTATTCACACTGTCAAACGCTTTCTCATAGTCAATGAAGTTGATGTATAGTGACGGGTTCCACTTAACTGATTGCTAAAAAATGATCCGTTGTGTTGCACTTTGGTCTGTTCACGATTGGTCTTCACGAAATGCAGCCTGTTGGTCTCAATGTTGAGTGTCTACTGCGTCTTTCATCTGGTTCAGCAGCACTCTATTGAAAACATTTCCTTGTGTTTTCTTCTTTTCTTGAATCTTGATCAGGGTTTCGACAGAGATCAATTTCTCATTTTGATGCTTCTTGAGTCCCAGAACCTCCTGATACGTTGAAGTCAATTCTTCTTTGATACCTTTTCAGTTTTCCTCCTTTGTATTTTCTTGTTCTTTCTGTAGATCCTGCAAAGCTTGGAACCTGTTGTTGAGAGTTATCTTGAATTCGTTGAGGTTGTTAGTATGTCGAAGGAAGGTTGTATTGAACTTTTGCAATTCTGTTCCTCAGTTGTCCAGTGTTTTTCTTTGGGCAGATAAGCGCTTGGTAACCGTCCACAAAAATCTCGTATATCAGTTCTAGCTTCTATATAAAAGCAAATGAATAATACATAATCACGTTGAAACTGTTATCTGTTATTTATTCTTATTCATTATAGATAAAAGTTTGGTACAATAGAACATCTGAAAGCGAATCACAAATTTATATTGAGATTAAAACAAAAGAAAATACTACACTATTTATTATAATAATAAGTAATAAGTTATATATATATAACATTATTAATCTTGAATTAATGATGGATAAAGTTTTCATTCACAATGTATTTATTCGGAACATATTTATAAGAATACAGAGCCAAAATACATTTAAAAGGTTGGTAGCAATTACTAAAGTAATAAATAAGGTGACAGTTTTTTGTCACAGACTGTTTTGTTCGTCAATTCAGTTCAATTACTAATGCATACTTCTCAATTCTTGCCCCATCAATTGCACAAAGTAAGAATATTAAGAGTGTGTAAGTAGCTGTATCACCAAAAGCCCACTGAATACGCACATATATAAATTATTGAACTCATTCAGATAGGGAAATATGGGTATAGACATTAGACAGGTAAATAAGCCTACTGTTCACACTTGGAACTCGACATACCATGTAGCCTCGCAACAACATGTGGTCTGTCTAGGATTTTCCATTATCAGAATGATATCAGATGGAGAACTAAAGAAAACCAATACGTAATGAACAGGTGTTCGCCAATAGTTCCGTTATAGTTTGGAACTTAACAGCGCATATGTCTGTAGCCGCCCACACTATCATATCACATTGAATAAATATTATACAGATTAGTGTAATTCATAAAATAATTTGAAATCATAGCTTTCATTACCACAGTGAAAATTAATTCTTGATAAGGTGAGAAAAAAAGTAGTATTAGACTAAATAATAGCAATTCGACAAATCGTTCCAAACGGTTTATAAATAATTACTGAAAATGATAGTGATAAATGAACAGATGTACTTACTGTACACGGAAGTTAATAAGATTATAACATCTTCATTCCCGTTGGCAGCGGCCAAATGTAAAGGAGTCATACCCTACAATAAATTATATATATTATATTCATTGACAGAAATATATAGTTATATGGATCAGATTAATTGATAAGATTTACTGAGTATATAACTGAGGAACTATAACATAGAACATATTATTAACTGTTTTGCAATTGAAAAATTAATTACCACATACGTAAATAGCACTAATTGTTTATAAAAACTCACCTCCTGTGGAAATGAAAGCAGTAACAGGGAAAGAGAAATGAAAACAGAGAAACACAATTAAGATATTTTACTTTTTAAAAAAACAACAACATATGACTTCAAATATTTTGTTTAGTTATTATAGTTGGATTAATAAAAGTTGGGTAGTTTATACATCGCTCTTGATTACTTTACCGGAGAGGAGTAAATCGTGACATTATCCGTATCGGGACCATGATAGTTTAATATACATGACCTGCTGTTAGATCCTCGGAGTACAATGGAATTAATTTGACCTGTAGTTTGAACAATTTTACGTAATTCCTTTCGGATATGAGTGAAGTTTTTAAGAACGAACATAAACTGGAGCAAACTACTGAGATTCAGGTAGCCCTGATATTTATTTATTATTTATTTGAACACATAAACATTGGTACAAAGAGGCACTAAATATATGTGGGCCACACAAGTCATTTGATTTGTGTGTGGGTTGTGATACTGCCCGGGTGCCCATACCGAAGCCGGGGTAACCCTAAATGGCTATTTCGACATGTACACATCACTACATAATTAATGTTAACCTATGCTACTTTTAGTCTGAATACTGAATACTTGCAGTAATTTAAATCAAATGTACTTGACTAAGCAAACTATTCAACAATTTTCTAGTGTAGTTTTAATACTGAATACTGAATAACTTTCAAAAATAGAATTGGAACAGTAAAACATTCATATTTCAATCTTTGTGTAAGGAGATTTATTGACGCAGAATACTCATCAACAATACTAAAGTATTCAAATATGTTGACATTTTAATTCGAAATCTTTTATTCGATTACATTTTTTTATAATTATTTACCATACTTTACTCTTAGATAATCTATTATTTTATGGGTAAATGTACATACTTTAAATTTTAAATAGGACAAATGAAATCAGAAAAAATGTTGTGTGTAATCACTATTGATCAAAAAGACAGACATCATTAACATGGGCTGATATAAGTTACTATACTACATTAGTACTACGAGATAAAAAATAACATGATGATCTGCAGAAGAGATAAGAATAATGTGATAGCGACGACAATAAGAAAGGCTAAACATTGGGAAAAGTGATAAGACGCCAGAAAATAAAGCCTAGCAGTAAGGTCTGAATTAAATAGAGAACACATGACCTACAAGACAGTTTCCTTTAATCTCCCATAATATTTTATTATGTTCACTTTGTGCTCATATTTCGCATACAAGAATGATATTTTATTACATGAAAAAGTTCATCTGGTTAGAGGTCTTGTCTTCGATTTCTAATTATTCGGAGGCCTAAGTCAATTTTATTGGCCAGACACTATCAGCAACAGTCTACTGTGGAAGAGAACAAACCAGATCCCAGCGGAGGAAGAAGCGCTGGGAATGGATGGGACACACATTAAGGAAAGCACATAACTGTCACAAGGCAAGCCCTCACATGGAATCATCAAGGCCAAAGGAGAAGAGGAAGACCATAGAACACATTACGACGAGAAATGGAGACAGACATGAGAAGAATGAACAACAACTGGATAGAACTAGAAAGAAAGGCCCACGACAGAGTAGGTTGGAGAATGCTGGTCGGCAGCCTAGGTTCCATTGGGGGTAACAGGCGTAAGGAAGTCAATGATATGGGTTTATAAGTACCCATCGCTGGATCATATTACGTCATTGCGTTTAACTACTGATTATCATTCTACTCATCAATTTCGGTAGTTGAGAATTCCCTCACTAAAAGCTACCTTCATAGCAAAATTACAGAGTGGAAAGGTATGTGTGGAGGAATACTAGAGTTCAAAATCGAAAGGAAGATAAATATTGAACGAATCTAGACCATTATGAACTGACCGAGCTAATCACACGGACCTCAACCAGGTCCTTAAACATGTCATAATCATCTCAGTTGATGTAGGTTTGAGATCTAATCAACCGATTTGCCTATCTTGCCTAGTACCCTATGTCCAACTTGAATATTTCTAAACTGCTCGCTCCACAATACGTGAGCAATGTTTTGAAGATACTTATGATAGAAACCTGTAGCTCAATTTGTCTTCGTAAACCATGTTTCACAACAATAAAGTAGTACATATAAGACTGCTGCTCAGTACACACGCCTATAGGTTTGCAGACAGAAATTGCGTCTACGCCAAAAGTGACTCAAGTAGGCAAACGCCAACTGATCTTTCTAAATTAATGGGGAGACTTCGTCAGATATCAGCCTTTACTAGATAAGTAATGTCAATTTACTCAATAACTTTACTCTCTATCACTAGTTCAGCTGTTGATACAGACCAGTTTTGAAGCAAAATCTCGCATTTATAGGGGAAAAAACTCATCTCAAATATCCTTGTATCATTGCTCTTGGTGATCAAAAGACTATATTTTGTCAGCGTCTTCACCAAATACGACTATATCATCTGCATTTCATTATTCACAATAGAATTAAACGTATGCAAGCAATGTATAAAACTGACACATGTCTGAGCATCAACTTGAACATGATAATTTCCAAGTAACAATCGGATAGCAGCACAATCTCCATATTTAGCTGCATAATGTAGTGCAGTCTGTAGGTCGAAAAAAAATGCAAACATGGCTTATCCATTAAAAAGTAAAAATAGTTCCTCAAAAGTAAATTAAACATGGTTGATAAAATATAGTTGAATATTTTACTGAAATAATCCTTAGCAAAGTTCCAGTAGATATACAGACGATCCAGCTAACATTTAGCAACGACTAAGGTTTGCTGTACCGGTCAGATACCTACCTAACAATTCACAGTCCCGTGCATGTGGTATAGGTGCAATATTCTTAATTTATGACTATAAGGTATCAATAATAAAGACATCAGACATAAGGTGATTTCGGATATTTAATAAAACATGCTTCTGAAATGTTCTTTAAGTATAGTTAAAAGTATATTTATTTACAAGGCTGTAAACAAGCATCGACAAAAATCTAACGCGTTAGTAGGTACCATACAACGAAGGTTGGTTGTTACAGAGTAAAAGTAGCCTGATATTCAACAAACAGACAAATGACAATAAGTTATAAAATATTGAGGTTTAACCGAAAATGTGTAAGGAATACAATAGAATCGTTGATGTCAGAAGACAACAAGAAAGACACCTACTTAATTACACCTGGCACCTTCATGGAGGAGCATAGGCCGCCAACCAGCACACTCCATCCAACTCTATCATGAGCAATCCTTTCCAGTTCTCTCCACTTGTTGTTCATCATTTTCATATCTCCCGACGTAATGTGCTCCTTGGCCTTCCACTTTGTCGCTTCCCTTCACGATTACAAGTTAGCGCTTGCCTCGTGATGCAGTTTGGTGATTTCCTCAGTGTATGTCCTATCCACTTCCAACATCTTTTCACAATTTCCTCCTCAACTGGAAGCTGGTTTTTCCTCTGCCACAGAAGGCTGTTGCTGATGATATCCGGTCAGTGAATGTTGAGTATCATGCGTAGACAACTGTTGATAAATACTTGTACCTTTTTGATGATGGTTGTAGTAGTTCTCCACATTTCATCTCTGTACAGTAGGACTGTCTTGACGTTCGTATTAAAGATTCTGACTTTGAAATCAGTTGACAGCTGTTTTGAGTTCTATATGTTATTCAATTGTAAGAAAGCCGCCCTTGCTTTGTCAATCCTCGCCTTTACGTCTGCATCCGATCCTCCTTGTTCATCGATGATGCTTCCCAGGTACGTTAAAGATTCCACATCATCCAGAGTTTCACCATCAAGTGTGATTGGGTTGGTGTTCTCCGTGTTTTATTTGAGGATATTGCTGTTTCCTTGGTGTATGTTGAGGCCTACTGATGAAGAGGCTGCTGCTACACTGGTTGTCTTGAGCTGTATTTGTTGATGTGCATGCGATACAAGGGCCAGGTCAACTGTGAAACTCAAATCATCCAGTTGCATTCAAACTGTCTACTGTATTCTGTACTTTCTCTCCCAGATGTCTAAGTCTTCATAATCCAGTCAACCAACAGAAGAAAGAGGAAGGGGGAGAGTAGACAGCCTCGTCTGACTCCGGTCCTCACTTGGAACGCATCTGTCACCTGTCCTCCATGCGCTACTTTGCACTGTAGTCCGTTGTATGAGTTCCAGATAATGTTGACAATCTTCTCAGGAACTTCATAGTGTCGAAGAAGTTTCCATAATGTTCTATTCACAGTGTCAAACGCTTTCTCATAGTCAATGAAGTTGATGTATAGTGACGGGTTCCACTTAACTGATTGCTAAAAAATGATCCGTTGTGTCACAATTCGGTCTGTGCACACCAAGAAAGACACAGCGACCACCAATCTTAGAATCCGGTTTTCTTTACGTAAATATTTTCCTCATGGCTTTTTGTATTTTTCTACTGAGTCATTCTAACGGTTTTTGCACTTCTGGGCTTCTTTGTCCTTTTTTAATGTGGCGACCTGGTTTAATAGCCTTACATCCCAAACTCAACATTGCTTGAGTCGATTAATGTTATATCCTCTACTTGATTACGGCACAAAACTATCGCCACTCAAACATGTAGAACCGCAGTCGCAAATCGAAAAACGGGAAAAGCTGGGGAAGCGATTATTGGGTAAGAGTCAAAAATGTACAGAAAAACAAGGGTATTTATAGTTTGCAGTATAGGCTATAACATTATTATAATCCAGTCAATACCCAAGTAGGAAAGCTACACAATTGTCTGATCACAGCATATGACGTTGATATTCTAGGTTTTATCAGGTCTTGATTGGTTGGGATCTCTTTGGTTCTTCTAGAGCCTATGAAAGCTTCTTCATGCTTTTTTTGGAGCAGTCCCAACAGTTAAACTATCCAAATAAAAGCGTATTAGAACCGATGTATAAGCTGTGTATATTTTTTTACCTCCCAACAAAGACTCGGTGAATTGAATAACCAACCACTACGATAAAGTAGTAAATTAGAGAAATATAAATTTCTCAAATCTGAAGTGAAAACTTACATACACAATAGAATAAGTCGATTCGTAAATAAAAGGATACATAAATAAATACTCCCACAACATTACTAAATAACTAGTGCATAACAACATAATATACATCATCAAGGAACATATGCGAATATCAATACTTACATACTGTTTTTTAATCGAATTTTCCATATTCACCATAGATTGAAAACAGTATTCAAACAAAGATAGGAGGAAAAACAAATATGTTATTAGTGAGAATAAAAAAATTGAATGTTGTACGATTACTAGAAGACATGATGGGATTAATTAGTTCTTAATATCAAATGACAACATATAGGAACTAAAACAAATTGTAGTGTTATAACATTTTGTATGCGACAGGAAACGTATCTATTTATAAGATTAACAAGTAATCAAGGTTTTAAGAAAGAGGTAATATATTAAAAAACTGTCAAAGTATTGTCATTATAGGAAAAGATATGAACATCTCAATAAACATCCATTCAATGAGTGGCGTTAAAATAAAGTATGTTAATGTATTCACCAATTCTGATTATGTAACTTTAAAAATAGTTAATGAAACAGACAAATTGTGATCGAATATAAATTAATAACCGAGTACAGGTCTAAGTACTTGGCTCACCAAAACACACATATTATGTAAAGCGTTAGTGACATTATGTGTTATATTGAAGCATAACTGATATATATATATATATACATAGTTTGATGGTATTGAGTTTTTCGAACTAGATGGTTTAACCGCGGAGCTTGTTATATATTCTGACGAGCCAAGAAAAACTCTCGATTACAACCGAACTTAGATGCACTGTTCGTGTGAATCCAGTACCACTTAACACTGATTAGTCAATAATATACAGTATGGGCATAATTTACAAATATAGTGAGATCAAAATTCTACAACTAACATGAAAATTGAGTTACAAATCGATCATATTTCTAACCATTTGGTTTCAATGAGAGTGAATTGAGTTAGACAGAGATATATCTAACCCTGTAAACTGAGTTAAGTGACAAGTGTATCAAATATAATAATTTACTAGTCCATAAAATAAGGTATGAGATATAAACCAAGGTTAAAATGATAACTAATTCTAACTACTTTTAATGAATCACAGTGAATTGGAACCTACTGATTCCAATGATTTGTAATTGAAAAAGTAAATTATGAAATGAATAACATTCAAGTCAAAATTGACGTAGGGCCTGGCATAAACGTATATTGGTCTGATACCAAACCATACAAGTAAGACTGTAGAGTGTTAACGACACGAATATCAAATAATTTGTGACAATGTTCTAGGAATGATAGCGAGTTCTTGGAGGCTCTCAGAAGAGGTAGTAACAGTATCAGTAATTGTAGAAAAGAGTGGGCATAGAAAATACAGTTCCAGAAAAAGAATATAAACCCGTGGGATAAAAAGGTATGAGACAGTTTTGGAACTCATGATCTAAGTGGCAACAACAACTGAATGCATCTACGCCATCTTGATTGATATGGAGGCACAACAACCATTGTAATGGCTTTGCTTCGTTAATCAATCACCTTTGTAAACGTCATTATATAAATCTTGACGGTATCTGAAATCAGAAGGCAATAAGAAGCGGCAACTACAGTTTGTTAGCGGATAGCACAGATAACAAAGCCATAGGCACACCAGACGAATTTGAAGCAGAGAGGCGAATATGTGTATGCGAGCAAATACAGAGGCAAATTTATAGTCAAATAGCATAAGGGGACAGCAAGGCAAAGCAAAGGCTAATAATAGGATTCGCGTACGTATATGCACGGGGAAGAGAATGAATCATTGAGAGATATTTAAGCTATCAATATTTTAGCTAGAGTCTGTCATGTGATCAAGTGTACACGTTTATACAGATGATAGTGATCATAATAGTACAAAGAAATATGCGAATTGTTACTGATCAAATAACATTTGTTAAGTAAGTTAACTGTGGTTACGATAAGCGCAAACCCTAACCACGTAGTCTGGACGTATTAACATGACTCAAACCAGCAGCCATTAACTTCAACCTAGATTTAATGCCCCAGTTTCCAACCTAACTTTACACCAGTCAACATTGCATATTGAGGCAGGTGGTGGTAGGATATACATCATACATGTCCTAACTAAATTAGTTGATTTGGATTTACAATCTTATCAATCAAATTGTTATCTTTCCCAAGTACCCTAGGCCTAAGCTCAGAAGTGCTCATTTGATCGTTCTACAATACGCTAGTAATATAATTCAAAGAAACTTATGATCGCAAATATTACTTGAAAGTGTTTTTATTCAAGTGAAGCTTGCATGTGTTACAGTACTACTATAAGCGAAATTGTTCCACAGAAAACTAGGGAAATGTACAGATCTATGTAAAAAAAGGTGTGTCGGATCGGGAGTTATTTTTTCTCTGGAGAGACGGCTTACAAAATATCGTAAAAAGCCAGAAAATAATTTCCCGGCTGTTTCACAAATACATATCAGTTACGATATCGAAAGAACTATGTTCTTAGTAACGCCTATTTCAAATACTTCCTTTGTTTCTAACTATCAGGCACAATCCCAGTTTTAACCAAATGTATTCAGTTAACATAAAGGTTTTAATCATGTACTAGAGTTAAAAAAATAAATCCAATATTTCTGTAATTTATCTTAACTAATAAGTTTTATACACAATACTTTTTTCACTTACCCCGTTGATACTAGTCTAAAAAACAAACAAAAATAATTGACAATCGACTAGAGTCGAAATACACTAAGATCGTGTGCATGGTCATATGAGACTATAAGAAAGTTGTACACAACCATACACTTAAAGTATAAATAATTATTCTTGAGCAGCTTATGATTAAACAGATAGAAAATCAATATTACGACCCGATCAGTTGGTAATATATGTTTCATAGCAGACAGATAAGTAAATGCTAATGGTATGTCAAATGAAACTATGAGAATATAGTAATTTCAGATAGATTTGAACACATTAAAAGTATGTTCTCATATTTACCACCTATTCACACACACACACACTTGAACAGATATCGGCACAGCAAAATAAGCTGTTGACGTATGTGTTGTAATAACCATATGAGAATTGAAGCTATTAGTCAGATTAGTGATTAGATCTGCCAAACCAACTTTCAAGAAGCATTATCATAAAATTTGTTTTGTACAACCTCGAACTAGTGTTTTTTCCTGCTTAGTCTCCTATTGCTATATAAAGACTGTATTTTTCATCACTGTTAAAAACACACTTTTTCATTATTCATTGTTGGCATCGCAGTACGTCACATTGTAACTGTGTTTTCAACGTCATATAATATATCTACACATAATAAATGTACATCGACTAATCTTTCTTGGTAGGTTTATTGAGTTTTCTGGTCAAGAACGAATGTTTGCAATGGTCATTACTAAATATATTCCCCCTACTTATAAAGCTGTATTAAACTGAGGGCCCCCTCCATACTATAGGAAGAAATAATAAAATAACTTATACTTCACGTAGTAGCACTGACGATTATTGACGACACACAATCGAAGCCTATTGAAACATACCCCTGGTGAGAAGACAAAGTATGGGAGAGGTTAACTTACTGAGTAGGGAAAACCGACATGTACACGACGAAATAGTCAATTAACATTTATTTTCATACAGAGAGTTGTCTTAAATCCAGAATATTCATATAATTACATACTGAGTGGTTGCGGACTTATGACGTAAGAACACTGAAATAACACTCATTTAAATACGCTGATAATGATTTGTACAGTTTGAAGTATAATATTCGTATAGCAGAGGCTGGTTATTGTATTCTGAACTCAACGGGCAGGGGGAGGTGAGAAGCTTCTTTATCGAGGACCGATAAGGATCCGGGGTCGATTCAAGGCTATTAGTGATGGTTGGTGTGTCATTGGTCAGCTCACGGATAAGGTTGTAGGAGTCGGCATTTTGATTGGCCGCTTTATCAAGTGATATTAAACAGGGCCATAGGTCACATGGTAGACCTTGAAAAATGTTTCACATGACTAACAGCCATTTTAATATAGACATTTCCTTAAACATGAAGAACTCCCGCAGCACATTCCATTTACAATTGGTTAAAATCATTGTTGTACAAGATTATTTTTCTTAATTCTATATGACAACACAATTTTCTGAGGCTTTAAAGGCAAAATGATTCCAAATCTTATGTAAAATTAATGTGGGTTTGTATATTGATAAAGTATTGATCGGCAGTTTATTAACACCAATTTGAAATACAATTGAGAACAACTATTAAAAATTATATACGGCTTCGTTCGAGTCTAATAGTTACAAAGAAAAACAACTTTAATTAAACATTACGCTAAGCATTATTCTGGTTCATACATTTAGGAATATGAATTCGAACTGTAAGCAGTGTCCGTAATAAGAGGATTCTAAAAACACAACGATGTAATTGTACAGCATACATTCACCATTAGCTGTTACAAAATATAAATGAAATAAAATTACCTTCCATACGGCTAGTTCAGGGTGTTGATTAAGCATTCTTGTCATTTTCGGTTGGTCACAGTCAACAATAGCTAACAACCAATCTTTCTGTTCTTGAGTCATCTGTTGATTAGATTAAAAGTAAAAAATAATGATCAAGTGAAAATTACGGGTTAGAAAAAATATTTAGTTGAAACGACAAGAAGTATGTACCTACGTGATACAATGGTAATCTACCATTTTAACTTAATAACGGTTAAATAATATAGTACATACCTTAACGAGCCAGTTTGTGGCTCGTTACGTATGCCCAACCACCGACTGCCCCGACGTGCAACGTTTTATGGTGTAGGCGTAGGTTGGAAGAAAGCTAGGGGCGGCCAGACCAAAACGTGGCACAAATCCATGAAGTCACTGACAATTGGACTGAGCCATGTTGGTAGGTGCAGACTACCTGGTTGGGATTCGCGAGATGATAGCAATCGATGGTTAGAGACCTTGAATGATATGGCTCAAAATCGTTTGCAATGGCAAAGGTGCACCCACTCTCTGTACTCTGTCAAATTCTAATCTTCTGAATTCTTCATGTCCGTATCCTTTTTCTCTTCCCAAATTTATTTCCATTGGATTATACTTCTTCAATAATATCTTCAAACCCTAATCTTTCGGATTACTGCTTATACTCTAACTACTTCTACCACTATGGGATTTGAATCGACAACCACATCTCTGTGTTAATGTGGTATGGCAACTCGAACTGATGTATGTACATACGAAGTTCTACGTTGTGACTGACTGACTGAACGAGCCAGTTAATGGGATATAGGGAAATTGCTGTTCAGGTAAAATGAAACTTCGACTGAACAGTCAAAGAAAAATAACTGAACCTTAGTTGAAGAAACTTTTCACAGAACCAACCAGACACGCGGTATGAGTTCACTCTTTATTGTTTGACTTTACGCCGCAATGAAGGTAGAAAGCATGATACTATCTACAACGAGCACAGGCCACAGTCGATACTTATTTTGAGGCTAAGCACCATAATCAAGATTCTGATTGATAGGAAAGTCAATAAATTTGCCTCATTCAATTTCCATAACGACTAGCGACATATACCTTAAATCGTTCGTTACTTTTAACTTCTAAGATTCATGTCCATAACCAGTCTTAAATCAGAGATTCTGACGGCTGCTTTTTTAATCTAACATCTATATTCGATAACAACACAATGTGAAAGCAATTTATAAAAAAAACTGCAAATAATAACTACGGATTACGACTGTAAACACTTTAAAATGGGTCAGATTATAGTATAACGGCGCGGTGTGGAAGATAGTTTTATAATATTAGAATTTCAATCCATCATGAATGCTCAGTCAGATCCCCAGAAATGATGTAGTTCAGTGAATTGATGGGTTATCAGATATAATGCAAAATAGTATCCAGTAGCGTTCCTGCTTTTGTTTTTTAATACATCCATCATAACAATGAGGTAAGCTTTCTCACTTCAAAGAAATGTTTATTGGCTGTATTTTTAACTGAGCTGTATCACTTACTCACTACTATTTCTGATTATTTTTTACTGACCATACTAACCTTCTCTCCCTTGTTTCCTAACAAAATGTTTGCTTCAGGATTTATGTGATTTCAGACATTTGATAAAGGATCAGTAATGAATGGATATATATGGTAAATAAACATAGTCTATGGTCAGAAACTTACCGGGAGGAAAGAAGTGGAATTCTACACCAGAAAAAGAGCATCATTACTATAACTTTACGAACTTACTAGTTCGAGACAAATGATTATATTTGCCTTGACGTAGTGTAAAAATCAAGAAAACAGAAATGTAGGTTGCGGGAGACACGTAAATAGTTACAATGTAACATTGAAATTTCTAATATATGGAATAGGATCAAATTAATGTTATGAGATAATGGATAGTTTACTTCATTGTCTTCTGTTTTTTTCCTTTAACCCAAGCCCATCAGACAAATGTTCCATGAACCCGAGACTGCCTAATTTTATTTACAATACAAACTTGATATGTTGACACTAGAACATAACTTGATACACTTAATATAACCAAACTTTTCATATTTAATCTCATATAGTGTTGACCTTGAATACTAAACTTGTAAGACATGAGGGATTACAAGAAGAATCTCAAATGCAAATGATTTTTAACAAATATAAACTTTGATGGAAGAGAGTTTCCAAAAGATGAAGCTTAGTACGGCAGAAGAGAGTTAATAATGGGTGACTTATATTTGAACAATAGAATAAAGATGAAACAAAGAAAGCAATTTATTTCTCCCCATCTACCCGGAGTTAACAAGGATGCGCAAATACGAAAGGAATCTATACCTACAAGGAACACAACCGACTAAAAGCTACTGTTTACACACAACATTTGGCGGTGAAATTCTGTAACTTTCCAACTACTTAATACTACTGAACAGGATTTTTCATTGTTTTGTATGTCGATTTTTATAACGATCCAAGCCTCAAAGTATTTTCCTTCATCTTGTTAACATTTATTTAACTACTAACAGATATGACGACCTGTACCGGCCCATTACTTCTCTTCAATTTTCGTTCATTTTATTTTGCTTTTATCTCCTCAATTAGATATAGTGTTATTAGTACTATCGATTTCAATAGAATGAAACATGTGTCAGCTTAGTATAAGCTAGAACATGTAACAATGCATAAAACAGGGGACCGTTTTTGTTTAGGATACCAGTGCCAGAATGCTTCAGAAGTGTACAAACGAACGTATTACGAACACGAAACCACATTTAACTTGAACCTAGAAAAATCTAACAAGTGCCTTCACACTATTTTATTAAAAGATTTCTCGCGACTTAATACATGCATATTTATTAGTTAAGCTCACCTTTGTTACGAATTCAAAGCAGAACTACATGTTAGTAAATATAAATCTATATTTCAGTAGTACTATAATATTTAAGTATTAATAAGCCTGTTGAAGGAAAATTATGTTCGATCTGCCAAGACACGGAACTGAGATGTCAGGAGGAAAAGCACTTGGATGAATGCTACATAATTATGTAGTCTGCTGAATATATTCTAATTTCCTTGAATAAAGCCGGGTTATAAGAGACAATATCCAAGCTATAAACATTCAACCTTGACAAGCTGCAAAAAGATGAAGCCTGTGAATTAAGGGTCTAAGTGGATAAAAGTGAGAGGTAAGAGAGGAGGTTATAAATGAGGTGTATTCAATAATATCAGTGGGAAAAGCTTATAACAAAATCAAACTTACTATACTATTGCTTCCGCTCCCATCATCTAAAAACGGTACCGTTATAACCATATTTTTCTAGTTGTAAAACTTATCAGATAATAAATTTGAAAGTGTTCGGGGTAAAAATGCTACATCTATGTGGTTTCGCTAAAAATTAACATATCAATGAAAAAATTGTCACTTTAACTGTCCACGATTATGAAATAGATGAAACGATATAATCTGACATTACGGAAATTAAGAGAACGACAAAGAGTCAACTAAGCTTTATTTCATCCAAAAGAGCTATAGTGTGTTTTATGCTTGAATGAAACATTAAAACCGGTCAGTTAGTCACAAACAACGCAGAACTTGGCCCAAATTACTACACCATATCAACAGGACAAGATGGAATAGCCAAGACGAATACTATAATAGCATCACCGATATGGAGAACGACTATGCACGAAGATGGATTATGTTGGAGAATCAACAGTCAGCAAATTCATGTGCTAACGCCACAACTTGGCTTGACTCTTCCCATTTCTTTTTGACTAAACCGGTGCACAGTATTCTCCTTCAGAAGGATGACAAAATGTCCAAAGATTAGGCCTAACAGTCAGGTTTGAATTGATTAGAGAACACATGACCCACAAGATAGTTTCCTCTAGTCTTCCATAACATTTTATTATGTTCACTTTGTGCTCATATCTCACATACAAGAATGTTATCTTATTACATGAAAAATTCATCTGGTTAGTGGTTTTGTCTTTGGCTTCTAATCATTCGCGGGATTAAGTCAATTTTATAATCCTATAAGTACCCATGTCGACTTCAACGTTCACGGTAAGGCAACGTTTCTGTAATTACTCACTATTCTTAATCGCTTATCACAAGTTATAATCCTAGAATTCTTACGCTAACATCCCTAACCCCAGTTACCCGAATCTTAGGATTCCTAACCGTAAAAATTTTAACTCAGCCTATGAGCACATGCCCCTAAAATCTGGCTAGTCACAAATCCTGGTTTTGGCAATGCGTTTGATCTTTACTTTTCTGTTCATTTACCATGCTGAAACTACTAATCTCATAATTTCACCACTTTTTTAAGATATTGAAACTAAAACGTGTTCTCATATTGCCTAATAAATTGTTTGAAATAGCCGCCGTAATATAGTCCCACTGAAATTTACTGATGTATAAGCATAGAACAACAGACCTTCTACCGTAACGTAAAAAGCATTCCTCCCGGCATAATTTCGTCACTCAATGCCCAATACTGTCGTAAAAGTCAAATTATTCATCTTTTTGAATAAAAGGCCGAGACTTGATACTGTTGATTAACTCCACAAATTTTTCAGGCGTTACTTTTACAAAGTATGAATGATTTACTTAATAAGTAGACAAAGTGAAGTTGTGTTTGTTGGAGCCTGTATTATGCTTTCACTCAGAATTGTTTGACCATTTGTTCCGTTTCTTACGTCAACCATAATAGCTTCTTCATCTGCGTTGGATTTGAAAGGCTACGTTCTCTGGATTGCTAGTCGACTGTGCCAATTGTTCTGCATCTATCCATTGAGTATGTGTTGCACATGATTCTTTATCAGGTTAACTATCATCTTTGCCTTTTGTTGGTTTGGAATAATTAACGATGGTCGTTTGATGATACTCATGGACTATGCACTCTATATAACTCTGTTTACCTTCTGCTTATAAATAACGGTAATGCAATGTTGAAATAAAGTCGAATACAGGTTGTGTTTGGGTAATTTATATTTCAGGAATATGTTGAAGCTATTAGACTGATAAAGTGGATGCGAAAATTGTATACATCCGGATGAGTGAAAAATTAAAATTTTGACTGGAATGTTTAGGTTTAAGTCGTCTTTGTATGAATACACAATCCATAAAACACTGCCTCGTAAATGTACAGCCATTTGGTAAGAAAAAACCAGTTTTCGAACCTACACATGTCAAGCGCTGGAGATTTCAAGCATAAGTAATGAATGATTATTAGGTGCAAATATAAGATTGGGAGAATAACTGGACAGACGTTAAAAGAAATCTGCACATGTCACTGCAGCGTCACTACAACAGAGAAGCTGAAGAATCAGGCGTGACACTTCCAGTTATTAGTTCTAAGGATGAGAAGAGTATTTGGAGTTTGACAATAACTCAACTAGTAACTCCTTGTATCCCCGTACGTGCCAAACCATTCAAATCTGTAGTCTGAAGCGAAGAGGTTTGAAGATATATCTGATAGGTTATCGATGTATCGAGAAGTAAATAATCTAAACTAGCTAGCAGTCGTAGGGGATGCGTGGCACGGCGTCCCCATTCGTGGTCTGGTTCGAACACATGACCAAGCGCCTCCGTCTAAGTGAGTCTAGTAAAACTAATCCGGTCAGCATCTAATATCGAAGTTTTACAGAGCTATTGATTTTAGGGAATCATTTACTGCTGAAGTTTGACTCATCATATTAAGCCACAATAATGGGGTCCATATAGCTAACAAGAGAAAAATAATAGAGATAAAATAACATGAATTATTCCAGGGGAGAGAGCTTCTGTACTTCATCAACCGTTTCTCCTGGCATTCTATCAATGAGGCTTAGTTCACACCATCTGTTGATTTATTCCAGATGGCATAAAGTCGTGGCTCAGAAAAGAAATAACGTACATAAGCGTTGCTCCGTGCCGAAGGTTGTTGAAGTTTACTATGAATTTGAAATAACGGAACAGAATTAATCCTGATATATCCTACAAGTTCAACAATATACAATCAGGAACTAAAATTAAAAGCACACAGTATGGTATTTTATTGTGTTATTACAACAAATTGTAGATGGCGTGGAGTGGCGACTGACTATAATCACCACTTCAAGAAGATTACGTACGAGTTATCGAGGTGGGTCCCAAGGTAGGCCAAAAACTCAAAGGCTGTTTACGGTTGAAATAAGATATATTTGCTGACGGTTTCGTGGGATCGCAAGAATATCGAGACGTACCAAAGTTTACAAGCGGAACAGCCAAGCGGAAGTGAGTTCGTGCACGTTCACAGGCAAAGGAAGGAAAAGTGCCTTTTGTACACTTAAAAAGAAGCACAGGAGAACAATCACTGGAACAATCGGTTATAATAATAATTGTTTCCATTATACCTATCGCGTTCTCGTCACAAAAGTAAGTCACTACAAGTTAATAACACAACATGAAATATTTAACTGTACTGTGCGTTTATTGATTATTCACCATCGCGTCTTTCAAGATTTCGAAAATAACCTACTGATAGAATTGCACTTTCAGAATAATCTGATTAATATATGTTGTGAACTGAAATAGAGTCACCTGCTTCCCCATATATTTCTTACAGCCAAAAAGTATAGCTAGAGAAACTTCTATCGTTCACATTCCAACCCTCACTTTTGAAGCGTTTTACACTTAACGATTCTGTACTTTCTGCATACGTTTCACATTCCTTTGTAGATGTAATAAAGGTATAATGCCGCACTTTTTAAACGTTTCTGTAGACTAGTAACAAGAGATTGGTCGTTTTGATGGAGTTCATCCAGCAGCATTGGAACTGAATAACCTAAACCTTGATAATTTATGGTGTAGTTATCCGAAATATTATGTATAGAAAAGGTACAGTGATAACATTGTGCCAGTCAATTATCCACACTATAAGTTTGAAGGTGATTAGAATCATACGGAAAAGATGTCTGCAATATGAGAAGGCTTAGGGCAGATAACGAAAAAGACATATCCACCAACTGAAACTGCGGCTTGTTTTATACGTTAATTCAATTGTTTAGCGATTGTTTCATCAGACAGTATAGCATTTTCTAATGTACCCTCATTGCTGAGGGAAAATCCCTCATGAGAGTAGAATTAAAGGTTCGAAAAGTTGGAATTACTGTGGTAACCCAGAGGTAAATCCCATTTTACTGCTACAAATTAGGATGAGTTCACCTATGACCGACTCTCATAACGTTTGACTTCGAGATGAAAAATCTTTTTTTAGTAGGTCTTAGCACTTTCTAAAACTGATTAACAGAACTCTTTTTGGAGGAATTTAGCGATATTGTGAGCCGGTAAGTAATAATTACGTTTTGTTGGTCGTTGTGGATTACCGGATTTTAATCGATAGAGGCCAAATAAAAATAACACCCAGCTTCTCCTATTCAGCAAATAGTTATTGTGTTTAGTCAGAGTTGCAGTGTGCTCTTTCTACATCTGGAAGTATATGACCAGCAACAAAACAAGAGGAATCAATGTAACAGCTGAGGATCAGACAAGATGTAAAAGACCTTCTGGGACCGCTCTAGGACCAACTTGTAACTACTCCTCTTTTGTTTTACTTGTGTGGCCATATTTTGTCTGTTCTCATTTGTCTTTTACAGTTCTCTTCAGAATGCGTTAACTAATATTTGACAAGAAATACTTAGAAGGAAGATAAATGCCGGGATATTTGTGTTCACATGATAAAGAGAGAACTTTGGACTTAGGTACAAAATGTTCTTCACTATCGATATATATCGAAACCAAAATGTCAGATCGATAACGATTCGCTATAATTACGTGGCAGAAATGCGTTATTCTACAATTCTGGACAACGAAGGAAGAGGATGCTACAAGTTCTAGAAGAATGATCTTTAGTTTGTAGTACTAGGGATAACACTACCTGTAGCACTTCTAGAGTTTCTGCTCGTCCCAAGCCAGGGTAAAGGAAGAGGATTGGGCATGAGGCTAGCAACCCCACCCCATACGAAACGTTCTTGCTAAAAAAAACTGCAAAAAGATTAAACAAATTATATCATTTGAACTCTGACTTCCGAGTTCAAGGAAAAATCATGATGTCTCAGGATGAAAGCTGAGATACTCGGAAAGTCATGAGACCGATCCTCTTTCTAACAACCGGAGCAACAATTTTCATAGGTACATGAAACGTTCGGACAGTGTGGGAGACCGGAACGACCAGTCAAATAGCAACGGAAATGAGGAGATACAAACTGACAGTACATTGAATCAACGAAACCCGTCAATGATAGCAACGACGACGATAAAAATCAGTTCGACCTGAGGCTGCAGTCAATCATATCGAAGTGCCCAAAAAAGAATCTCACCATCCTGATGGGAGATCTGAACGCCAAAGCTGGAACGGACTGTGATAGAGAAACGAGAATGATGACATATTTGTAAATCCATGTGAATCCAACAAACTGATTATATGCGGCAAAGTATTCCCAAACGAACTCATATACAAAGCTACATGATTTTCAGTGGACCACAATCCAGAGTACAACATTGATCATATTTACATCACCAAAACATTCACGGGGTCAGTGGAAGACGCGAGAACCAAGAGAGATGACATAGCTTCAGATCACCACCAGAAGCTAAAAAACACTGGACAACTGAGGAACAGAATTGCAAAAGTTCAATACAACCTTCCTTCGACATACTAACAACCTCAACGAATTCAAGATAACTCTCAACAACAGGTTCCAAGCTTTGCAGGATCTACAGAAAGAA